GAAATTCAAGGTTTTACAGCATATAAGTTAGAAAATAGGAATTTGAGCTAACGTTTTGATATTATTTGCATTTTGAAGGTAAAACCACAAAGATTGGTGCTAAAAAGTGCTAAAGAAATCATGACGAATAAGCGGAGGCTCAATAAGGATCAAGGGAAGCCAAAATACTACAATTCAAGGGTCAGAAGAGGGCGCTCAAGCGCACAAGAGGACGCTCGAGCGCGTGCAAGCAGGAAAAACAGCCAAACTGGGCAAGTCAGGACGCTCAAGCGCACAGATGCACGCTCAAATGCCCAAGAAGACAAGATTTCAGACTCGAACAGCACGTCGAGCGTGCTCAGGCAGGCAGCAACAGCAACTTTAATCAATTTGGCACACTCAAGCGGCCAACAGCGCGCTTGAGCGCCCAACCACGTTCCAGACAGCAAAGACTTGCTGAGATTTAATGGAGATTTTCCAGATTGCGATATCCGGAACCAAAACGGAAACATATCAAAAGATATTCATGGAAGATTGAAGCAAGATTATAACAAGATTCAAAGTCTTAAATCTATCACCAATCTACAAGATCTTAAATGCAAAAAGGAAACAATTGTAGAATCAACTACAAATCTGATACAAATATGGTGGAAGATTCAATGAAGGATGTGGCTTTGAAGATTATAAATAGGGAGCTGAGGGTCAGAGCAAAAAAACCAATTCACAAGTCCAGAGCATTACACCAAGATTGAAGGAGGAATCCTGTTGCGGAGCGCTGGAACACTGAGGAACCAAGTCAACATCACACCAATGGAGGCTTGGGGTTCTCTTTTCTTTATTATTGTTTTTCAATTCAGTATGTCCGAGTAATCTTTTATGTAGTTAAGGGTAGATGGAACCCAATTGAATCTTTATGTTATGAATTAAATTGTCTCAAAATCCTGTTCTTTTTATAATTGAATAAATTATCCGTCTTTAATGCTTTCTATGAGTTTGTTCCTTATAGAATGATTTTGGGGAATTGTATGACAATAGGGATGTTGGTGCATGAACCCTGACTTGATAATTTATCATAATCCTTGTGATCTAGGAATAGGAATAGACATAGGGTAATTATGCAATCTTGTAATTCTTGATCTTAATGCATGTTTTCTTGAGGAATAATCGGGGATTTAGAGTTCTTCCAAGATTACATAGATTTATGGTAACAAGGAATTGAGACGTAATTAACTCAGATAGAATTGATTGGCAATATATTAAGAAACGGGTTCCTGGTCATTTAATTCATAACATATTGAGGATATTGGGGGAAGTCGAAACCTTAACTACGCTTGTTTTAAATCTTAATCAAACATCATCTTCATTCATTATTTTAAATCTGAATTTTCATAATTGCATACTTTTACTTGTTTTTAATTTTAAGTTCTTTGAACCACAATTCTCTTCATCTAAATTCTCTCAAACCAAACCTTTGATTGTCCAACTAAGACGCGATTAGCGAACTAGTGCTTGAAAATTCTGATCCTCGTGGGAACGATCTCGTACTCCGGTACACTTTATTACTTTCACGATCGGTGCACTTACCGAGTCGCAACACTAACTATCCAAGCCAAGAGTCCAACCAAGCTCAAAGTCCACACACAGCACAATCACAATCTGTTGGGACCAATAATCTTATCAATATTCAAACACAACAAGCATATGACATAAAGACAACGCCTTTCCTTTACATTTCATGTCTTTAGACTTCTCACAAAGCCATAAGCCCTTAATCACTATGATTCTGACTTAGATTAATTACTACAGAAGTCCACATTAACCAATTATGGGTCCACAAACCCAAAATATCAATCTGTATGAACAGTACTGTTACTGTCCTTGAAAACCCAGAATATCCGGATATATGTCGGGTCCATATCCGGATATCCATATCCAGATGTCATATCCGGATATCTATATCCGGATGTCATATCCGGATATCCATATGCGGATATCTACAGAGCCCATATCCGGATATTTCGCGACAGAATGCAGTTTCTGCATTTCGCGAGATATCACTCCAAAGGTTCAACTTTTACCATTAATATACGTCTAAGAATTCATTTTTAGGCAGATACAGGTTCATATACGTGTTGGTTACTTAACTAACTCATTAAATATGCCAAGACTCAACTTTTAACATTTAAAACTCATGATCCAAGGTGATGAAGCTTACCCAAGCTTGAAACAGAGCAACAATGGCTCTTGGAGCTCTCACAACAGCTCCTCACGTTCTGACTTTAATGGAGTACGAAAATACCCCACAAGCAAGGTCTTTTCTTCCCAAAGGTTGCTTCTTGAAGCATCAACCACCAAGAAAATGGCTTCCCACTTTTCAAAACCAAAAGTCAGCACCCAACCCTCACACAAACTGACACCCTAACTCAGAAATGCATCCCTTTTCTGTTTCCCAAGGCTTGAAAACACTCACCCAAGGAGTTTTTGTGAAGAAATCAAGAGGAAATGTGACCTCTTGATGGCTCAATGGAGAGGGAAGAAGGTGGTAAGGTGGCTGACCAGAGAAATGCAAGTGGAGGCACGTAGAGCACACAGAATCAGCCTAGTGTTCTGTGTAATGCTCTATTTATAGTCGGTTAATGATTAATCACACAGTATTAGCATTAAAAGGTACACTTAGCATTTTAATCCCAAACTTCGAATTATGAACCTACTCATTTTTCTAAGATTTATCATATTTTTATTTTATTTTTCGCAGCACCTTTCCGGTACGCGCTTTTACATAGCCAATATCAGTCCTGGCACCAGTTCTCATTATTTCGAGTTGAAACTTGTTATACTAGTCCTATATATTATTCTAGGAATATTCATACACTTATTATAATTTTTCGGAATACTTCATCGGTACACATTTATACCGAGGAGCAGAACCGGTATCTGCACTTTTCGTCAGAAAATCGACTTCCAGCATTATTAATCACTTACCATAATTATTTAAGCCTTCTCATAATTATTAGGGTCAATTATTGAATTATCTCATTAATTTCATAATTAATTAATTAAATTTCTTAATTAATGGTGCAGGTTCTTAGAAAATTCCTCAAGATTGCTTGAAACTCGAAATAAATATTTTCATGTTCTGGGAAGCGCGCTAAAGTGCGCTCCCATTGTAGAAAACTGGTTCGAAGAGAGAGCTAAAGGGCGTAAGAGAGATATAGGAACTTGAACCTTTGGATGTTGAGCGCTAAAAGAGGTACTAAAGCTCGCCTATGTGAGGGAAAAATACCTGTTATGTGCGTTAACGCTCGCTAAAGCACGCAGAGCAGGGGAGAAATACAAATTGGCTTTGACCTTGCACGCTTATTGAAGGAAAAATTACATGCAGCATCACGCTAAAGCGCGCTGCCGAGTATTCAATTTATTGAGTTTTTCACCTTAGATGTTTATGGGGACAACTTGGTGGTGCATTATGAATAAAGTATGATGTATTTGAGTAAAGTTTAATGTTTTCGCATAATGAATAAGTTATGATTATATTTTGAATTAATTTGATACAGAAAGAGTTTTATGAGTAAGAATTAATGTAAACAGAAATCAAAAATTGTATTCATAATTAATTCAATTACTGTGATTATAATTGCGTTTAATGCCACCATATGTAATGTTAACAAACCGGTAATGAATGAGGTGTTATATAGGAAAAAATTATACTTACAACCTCCTTTTCCTTTTTTTTGGACTGTCTTACAATAACCATAAGACAATAACTTTTATGGTTGTTGGATCAAATTCAATTAATGACTCTCATTTATTGTCATTTTGTAACTGTTGATTTAATTTTGATCCAACAATCATTTATTACTATTATTATTTATTTGACCTACACATTATTAAATAAATTCTATATAAATATTAAAATTTAGTTTTCCTGTTAAACTTTATTTTTACACAATTGATCTAAGGTAAACCATCTTAGGGGTTCCGTGTGTGAATGAATTTTTTCTTCAATAAGTTATGTTTTTAAAAAATGAGAAAAATGATTGTCATTTTAATGAAATAATGTCGTTTTGATATGTTTTTATATTCTCTCTCCTCTATTTTCTTTTTATTTTTAATTTTATAAATTAAAAAAATAACAGAATACACCAAAATGATGCAATTAAAAATGACACAAAATTGTGTCATTTAAAATGACACAAAATTGTGTCATTTAAAATGACAAATACTAAACGCTTTAAAAATAGAACTGCTTTTCACTTATTGCGTTTTTTTATTGCAACTTTTGAAGAAAAGTAAATATCTGAAGAAAAAACTACTAATGTAAATTTATGAAGCCAAATTTTTTGACTTATGCAAAAAGTTAAAATACTATTTTTTTAATATTAATTTAAATATAAAATAACTCTAACTTTAAAATAATGTTTACTATTTTTCATCAATTAAGTTTACTATTTTTTATCACCAGATTTTAATTATTAATTTCTATCAATTTGATGATTATAATTTATTGAATAATATTTATTAATAAATTATTAATTTTTAATAAATTATAATGATTAATTTAACGAAAATTAACGATTAAGAATTCACGATAAGAATATAATCTTTCTCTTAAATAATATTTTATCTCATCAAACAAATTTCAAATTTAACATTATTAAAACTGGAAGGGATCAACTGAATCAATTTTAAAAGAGTAAATAACATTTTTATTCTCAGCAAATTTTACAATGCCCGTTTTAGTTCCTAGCAAATAAAAAGGCTGTCCTTACGAAATTCAAAATGGATCCATTTTAGTCCTTTTAAGAATTAATATGGGTCTTTTTTAATGGATCCATTTTGAATTTCGTAGAGACCATGATCGATCTTTTTATTTGCTAGGGACTCAAGCGACCGTCGTGGAATTTGCCGATAACCAATAATGATATTTACTCATTTTAAAATTAGTAAACCGGTCATGATGCGATGCGGTTTATATGATGAATCGGAAATGCAAAGGAACCGAGCCCTTTTTAGAGTGAACGTGTTGGATTTGTGTGCTCCACCGATCACAGAGGCAGTACTCCATCGTTCGCCGTCCAGGCTGCGTTTTCCGCCGTCCGCCACCGGTCAAGTGTGCCGTCCAAATTTTGCTTTCTGCTCCACCGTCCTGGTTACTCTGTCCGCCACAGTCTACGCTTTCCTCATTGTATGAATCACAGGTAATGGTTACTCGAATGGAGGGGAAAGAGAGCGAAATTTTATTATTCTTATGTTGTTGGATCTCTATATGAATGCTTTATGATTTCTGAAAAATTACTGTGTTGGACTGATTTGAATTATTTGGGGGTTTGGAGTTGGTTTCGCTTTGGAGCAAAACATGGAGCTAAGTCTTTTGCACATAACTTGCTTGATATTTTGCTTACAAAAGGGATGAATTGACTCATCAACCACCAATTTAGTTTTAGTTGTTAATGTGTTGTATGCAGCTAAGATTAAAGATAACCAGCCTTCCTGTTGAATTTAATTGCTGGTATTGGGGTATGAAATATTGTGGTAGTAGTTTGAGGTGACGCTGGTAAGGTTAACTATGTGATTGGATTTAAGTGGCTGCAAAAGTGTACTTATTACCAATGTTATTAAACTCGACGCGGTTATCTATCCGGTCGAGGTACTGGGTCACTGATTCAACCGCATGACTCGGTAAATATATGTAAATTTCTAATTTATATTAAAAAATTATAAATATACTTAAATACCTGTAAAAAATACACCAATTTTAGTTATTTTAATATGAAAAATAAGGGAAAGGTTATACTTGCTACCTCTTTTTCTTACTACCTCTTACTACCAAATCTTAACTGTTGATTTCTGCCAATCCAATGATTATAATTTATTGGAAATTAATAATTAATTAATAAGTATGACTTAATAAATTATAACCGTTAGATTAACGGAAATCAATAGTTAAAATTTGGTAGTAAGAGGTAGTAAGAAAAAAATGTAGTAACTATAACATCTCCCGAAAATGAATAAAATACATATCATTGTCTAACAAAAAAGTAATCAAATATATAATATTTGTTATACTAATGTTTCAGGTTCAGTAAACGACATTTCTAACTATAAGTCAAATCAAAATTCCCTACATATTGCATAACTAAGATAATATTAGTGTTGTAAGTACATAATCTGTGTAAATTAATAAGCTACAAATCGCTCAAATATTTCAAAAGAAAATAAATCATTTGTGTTTGAGAGTTAAAAAAAAGGAAGAAATCAATTGATGAGATTAAATTAGTTTTTTTTTTTTTTTTTTTACAAACCGGGCCGGGTCACTGGTTGAACCGACCGGGTCATCGGTTTTTCCGAAAACCGGCCGGGTCACACCAATTCTGTAACATGGCCGGTCTAATATGAAAACCGGACCGGTTACATGACCGGTTCACCGGTTTTCAGGTCGACCCGGTCGGGTCGAGTCGGTCCGGTTTTTGTAATATTGCTTATTACTATTGTTTATCTCCTACATAAATGGCCAGGGAAGCCTATTTTAAGGCGCACTGATTTTCTTAATTTATTAGTGTGGCCCATGGGCTGGTTCTAGCCCACAAGGTCCTGGACCTTTTGGCCATGTGGGTTATGGCTGAACGGGGTTTACTAGCCAATATTGAACTCTATCAGCACCTCTTAGTAAAATCTCTAAGACAAGCGGGGAAAAAAGTACTGATCCAATGCCCGTTGCCCGGTTTAGGCTGGCTCATATGGGCCTTGTTTCCTAGAATTGACAGTCCTATGGAGGCTAGAGAAAACAAACGGTTGTCCTCACAATTTTCATCTTCTGTTTGTGTTGGATAAATGCAATTATTTGGGGGAAAACAAGAAAAATTTGGTAACATTTTCCTGGTGAGTTCCTCTGTGTATGTTAATCTGTGTTCCTTGTATATTATATAAAAGTCTGATTCGATTTATCTGTACTTAGCACATACTAAGAATTCTGGTGGGTTTTTGAAACTGTAAATGGTGGCATGCTTTCATATTTGATAGCCTTGGAAGGATAAATTTACTTTTCAAGAAATTGAAGAATATTAGTATTGTTTTTCAATACTAATATTTGATAGCGCCTTGTAAATGGTGGTATGCTTTCATATTTGATACTAAGAATTCTTGGTGGGTTTTTCATACTGTAAATGGTGGTATGCTTTCATATTTGATAGCCTTGGAAGGATAAATTCACTTTTCAAGAAATTGAAGAATATTAGTATTGTTTTTTCTCTTGCTAAGTTACCATCTAAGATGCAGATAAGTTTAAGATGAGACCTTGAGATGCACCACCCAAAAGCTAGCTCAAAGGATGGGAATGTTTAAGATCTTATAAACCTCACGTTAATTGCCCATACAACCAATGTAGGACTCCAAGTCCCATACCTTGCAAATGGAACCCAATAGTTTACAAGTGAAAAAAAAAAGGCTTAAGTGATTCTTTAATCATTTAGCTGATGAATGTCTGATCTTTCCCTGCTTCAACTCTGTTTTTTTATTCAGCTTCTTCATGGAGACTTGGCAATGTATTCAGCTCTGCATGTATTTATTAGCAGGGAGTTCATTCTTATGGTCACCTGGAAGCTGTGTGCTTGTTGATTCATTATCAAGTCAGGTTAGTACAATACTTTTTTACGGATGATTCTACTAGGCCTGTTCAAAAGTGAACGAATTCAATCAAAATAAAAAATATCAGACCACACGAAGGTTCTATTTATAATAATAAATTACATGGGTGGGCTTGGGCCTTTTCCCTATTTACATGGTATTCTATAATTACATAAATATCATATACACATATTCTAACACAAGATGCTGCAACATCAACATATGTTTCAAAAATAGGAAGAATGAATTCGTAGGTCTCTTTGAATGCTTAACTGAAATTCTTCTCCACAAGAAGAACCTCTGCCATTCTAGTTGAAATGACTTCCTCCAAAATGAGCACTAGCACCATAGTCAATGCAGAATTCATCCAGATCATTGTTTGTTCAATAATAAGTCACCAAAGAATCTAGTCTTTGGGAATATGGAAAAGGCACTCCACTCATGATTGTTGACTGTTGTACGGAAAAAACAGCGTCAACGGAAGAGAACAAGAAGCAAGAATCATGATAGTGACCATGACTGAACATAAAATCAAGCAAATGTTGTCCCTCCCTCCATTCTGGTGTGCTTCCAGAATATTCGTTTCCTCCAGTCCAATTGTGCCAGCTGGTTGGTTTGTTACACCCATTACCTCTCTTACACATAAAACCCTTCAATTAACTGCTACTTTGACTTATTATTCCTAATCCTAGGTCGTAACATTCCCCTACTGCTATCCTTCATTCTTCTTTCATACACCCGCATAACTGGAAGAGGTATGTCTGTTTCCAAATCTATTCTTCTTTTATCTTGAAAATAGGGTGTATTTGTGATGCATGTTATCTCCTTGTACAATGTGTAGTCCAATAAGTGAAAAAAATGGCAAACAAAAAGCCCAATTTCATGCTCTCTCTTGCTATTTCCAACTCCGTAATTTTTGTTACTTGATTGATTGGTATACTTGGGATCTTTGCTGCTAGTTCTTTTCTCTGTTGTGTTAAACTTGAAATACATAAAAAGTACCCAAAAGTGCAGCTAACAAGCAGCACGATACATTATACCCTGATAGTGAGTGTAATAGTAGGACATTTCCCATCTAAAAGTTCGGGAGTATGAAATTGTTAGAGAAATATAAAATATCATGAAAAGGACCTACACTTAACAGCTTAAGCTTTTATGTTGAATTGGTTGTTTTATATGGTATTAGAGCCTCCGTGCATGACTATGGGATTATGAGTTCAATCCTCACTGTCGCTAATTCTATTAATAAATAATTAAATATCGTGAAATTTCTTAGTATAGGTATGAGCCTAATGCATTATTCACCTTTGAAGCCCAATGGACTCTTGTGGGGAGGAGGTGTAGTAGAGAAATATAAAAAACCATTAAAAAGACATTCACTTAATAACTTAAGTTTTTAGGTTGAATTGATTGCTTTACAGAAATAAATAATCATTTCAGATATGTAGAGGTCGGACAGCTTTGAGGCATTGTTAATTCTTCTTTGTTCGCTTTTGTCTTTTGTTTTCTTTCTTTTGGAGGATATGGAATCCTCTTGTTTTAATTTTTTTTTTTAGAATATCTTGAAGATATCATATAATATCAAGATTATATTCTTAATATATTTTAAAGTATCCTAGAGGTTCTCTTAGGATTGGTTTCCCCATTTCCTTATATTTCATGGTTTGTTTTCTTATTTTAGGAGTCACCATCACATCAACCACTCCATTTCACATCATAGTACATAATATTCCATCTCTATTATGTCCTTGAGCATTCATTCCTCTATAGCTAAATTCCTATAATTTCAATATGGTATCAAAGCAGTATCCTCCTCCTCCGTGACCTGTCCTATCACTATTCTACTGCTGCATTCTCTAAAATCCAGAGCGCTACATGTTTGACCTTGCTCTTGAACAGAAGTACATACATATTATATGCCCTTCTTTTCTTTTAATTTTGTCAAATAATGTCTTCCATTTTCAGGTAGTGGATTCTCTGAATTCTAACTCCAATAGCAGAAATGATAAAGCTTTTTCTCCCGTCAAGAAATTTCTGATGCAGTATTATTATGACAGATATACGAACTTACATGATTCAGATTTTGAAAATTTCATGTCTCAAGAAGTCCCTTTTGGTTTGTGTGAAGTGCTTCCAGATAATCATAATTTCTTGTTGAGATTGTCAGTTCTAAAGCGCAATATTATTGGTGAAGGTTCTCATCGATCTGTGTCAACATTAATCAAATTTCAAACCCAACAGTCGAAGTCTTTGTCTGAACTTTTAAGGTATTCATGTGAATTCATCATTATTGAAAGACTGCCTTCTGGAGTTTTTGCTGATCCATTTGAATTACAACGTCTTGTTCAGCGTGGTGGTAAATATTCTTCATCTGCTTTTCAGATTTAAAGAAAAAATGGGGGAAAAAAGTCCATATTTTTAATTTCCAGGAATATCTCCATGTTTCTTCATGTTAATAACACTTTTTATTGCAGTGTTCAATGATATCGCTGTTTTTGGTGATACAAATCTGGAGCTGCCTTCATTCTTGTCTAATCGTTCTGCTGTTGAAATCCACTTAGATGTTGACCCAAATATACTGCTAGCAAGTGATATCAAAATAGAGCTTCCATTGCATGCACGATATCAAGTAAGGTTATTATGTTTTCTGTTTATATCTTAAATTCTTAAAGCCATTTTCAGCTAAGCTTGCCCTTTACATTTATTTGAGTCTAATGTTCTTGAAAGGAAGTAGGGTATGTATCTTTTGAAGGCATTATCATCATGTGATAATTGCTTCAACTTGAGATCAAGATGATTCTATGCAACAATACAGAGTGCCTTATTACTTTTATTATCCATTAGTGCTCCATCTACATGTTTTAATACTATACTAGTATTAGTATTTCTATAGGTTGTCTATTTGCAAGAACAAAATAGGCGTGGCTTTAACAAAATACTATTATTTCATCATTTCCTTTGTTTACCTCTTCTTTTTGCAGCCTCTGAATGAGAGCGGCTACTCCACAGTTGAATTTGGTTCACCGGATATGTTAGTGCGCTGCAGCACAAAGGAAAACATGGAAAATCGCAATTGCTTCTTCAAATTAAAAATTGATGATGCTAATCTATACGATGCTGGTATTGTTTGGAGTATACCTTCTGGAAGAAAGGCACATGCTGACGTTGTTTCTGGAGTTACATTTATTGCAGCCTTGTTATCAACTTTTGTAATTGTTGTCACATCGTTACATTATTATAATAGCGTATTAAGCAAATATTTAAAACAATCTTAAATGTTTTTTGAAATGTATTCTTACTGCCATGGCTACATATTCGTATTTGTTATATTTACCTATTTATTTTCTCTATAGTAGAGTCTTTCAGTGGCATGTTTTGGTCCTCTTTCCCATTACTTAGAAGTTCAGGTACAAGAGACTATCATTACCGCCTGGACAATTAGACATCCAACCCGTAATCGCAACGACCCAATTGCAAGAGCGGAGCTCTACCAACTGAGCTATATCCCCCCGAGTCAAGTGGAGCATGCATGAAGGAGTCAAGTCATTCTTCTCTTCTTTTCCTTGGCGCAGCTGGCCTATCCTGGACTTGAAACAGAGACCTCGTCCGTGAAGTAAATCATCGCACCTACGGTCCAACCAATTGGGAGAGAATCAATATCTTCTTTTTCGGGAGCGATTCATCCTTCCCAAACGCAGCATACAACTATCCGTTGTACTGCGCTCTCCAAGTGTACTTGTTCCCCCTTCTTCCTTACCATGACAAGTTTTTGTGAAATAACTCCGATGAGAAGAAAAAAGAAGGCGTTAACGGACCCTCCTGGTCCAACCCTAGACACTCTAAGATCCTTTTTCAAAGATGGAAAATGAACATAACAGCAGTTCTTTCTGAATTCCTCATAGGTGGAAAATGAAAAACAGTGTGAATAAGATCTTTTATTTTTTTTAATATTTTTATACTTTTGTTATGTTATGCAAGTGTAAACTAATTTTCATTTCCTAACAACCTTCGATTCGTTCTTAGATAGATTTTACAATCAACGTGTCATGGGTTAATAAAATAATTAAGTTGATTTGGCAAGTCTTATTAGAGTCAAAAGTGTTTGTTACATTAGTTTGATTATGATGTAGAGCAAGTTTGCACTCATTCCATTATAGACATTTTTTTCTTTTTTGGAAATATATCGACAAATTTTATACGGGGAAGGTTATACTTATAATCTATTTTTGTTTACAATCTCTTACAATCATATCTTAATCGTTGATTGATGGAAATCAACGGTTAAGATATTCGCAAATTAAATTTATTAATTAATTATTAATTCGCAATAAATGATGACCGTTGATTGGCGAAAATCAACTGTTAAGATATGATTGTAAGAGGTTCTAAACGAAAATAAGTTGTAAGTATAATCTTCCCCACATATATATACTAGTGTATTACCCTTACCCGTGCCGATCACGGGGGGGAAAATCGATTTGTTTGACTCGTAAAAGTTTACCTAAATTTAAAATAAATATTATGAATAATATTTTTTGTTAAAATTTAATAGCATGATGTAGGATCAAACAAAAAAGATATATCTTTCTTCAGTCTCAAATTAAATAACAATGTTGAGCTGCATTACAAAATATATTCACATATGCAGGTAACAAAACATGTATTACTAACACGATGATGATAAAATAAAAAATATTAATTAATAAAGACTTAATTAAAATTCAAAATATCCAAGTGATTTGCAACTTCATATAATGTATTTGTAATAAAAAAATTTAAATGTTGTGCTTGACATCAAGGTAATAAGAAAGATGCGTAACGTATACTTGCAAAAGTTATAAAATCCATTCCGCGATTCACTCTTAACGCAACACATAAAAGTATATTGCTGCATTTTATTTTGTCATGTAGTCATTCAAAAATTACAAAGTTTTACTTATCTTCTTTCAGTATTTTTTAGAGATGAACTTTCATTTAGAAAGATCAAATTTACAAAATAATAATACTTAAATATTTTTTGCAAAGATTTGTGTCGTAAGTATTTGGAATTTTTCAAATTTGTATTTACAAAAATTAAAATCAGAATTAGGAATTCAATTATAAAAGAAAAAGGAAAAATTTTAATTTAATTATAAAAAAAATATTGGCGGGCCGGTCCTCCGGACCGAGTCCAGTTTGCAACCTCTAATTGTCAGCATTATATACCAGCATGTAATACATTATTATATTTATCCACATAAAAAAATTCTTATAGTTGCAACTAAGTTTTTATATTTTATCTTTGAGATGGACATTCATTTATTACAATCAGATTTACAAAATAATAATAAATAATTACCTTTTTGCAAGAATTTGTGCCTTAGTATTTTGAAATTTACAAATTTGAATTTACAAAAATTGAAATCAGATTTAGGAATTTAATTATAAAAGAAGAAGTATGAAATTTTAATTTAATTATAAAAATAAGTTGTGGGTCGGCCCTCTGGGCCAAAACTAGTTTGCCACCTCTAACTTCAACATGTAATAGGTTTTTATATTTATCCACACAAAAATATTCTTATAGTTGCATTTAAGTTTTTATATTTTATCTCGGAGACAGACTTTTATTTATTACAACAGATTTACAAAATAATAATAAATAATTATTTTTTGCAACGATTTGTGTCGTTAGCATTTGAAATTTTACAAATTTGTATTTACAAAAATTAAAATCAGATTCAGGAATTTAATTATAAAAGAAGAAGGATAAAATTTTAATTTAATTATAAAAATATGTTGGTGGGCCGGCCCTGCGGGCCGAGACCCAGTTTGCCACATCTAACTATCAACATGTAATAGGTTTTTATATTTATCCACAAAATGGTTCTTATAGTCGCATTTAGATTTTTATATTTTATCTCAAATATGAACTTTCATTTATTACAATCACATTTAAAAAATAATAATGAACAATTATGTTTTGCAAGAATTTGTGTCGTTAGTATTTAAAATTTTACAAATTTGTATTTACAAAAATTAAAATCAGATTTATGAATTTAATTATAAAAAAAGAATGATGAAATTTTAATTTAATTATAAAAATATGTTGGTAGGCCGGCCCTCCAGGCCGAGACCAATTTGCCATCTTTAACTATCAGCATATAATAGATTTTTATATTTATCCACAAAAAAGCTCTTATAGTTACGTTTAGGTTTTTATATTTTATCTCAGAGATGAACTTTCATTTATTACAATTATATTTACAAAATAATAAGAAATAATTATTTTTTTACAAGGATTTGTGTCGTTAGTATTTAAAATTTTACAAATTTGTATTTACAAAAATTGAAATATGATTTAAGAATTTAATTATAAAAGAAGAATAGTGGAATTTTAATTTAATTCTAAAAACTTGGTTGCAGACGGGGAAGGAAGGCCCTCGGGCCAAGCCCAGTGTGTAACCTTTAACTATCAATATTTATGTAAATAATAATTTGTTTGCAAGAATTTGTATCCTTAGTATTTTGAATTTTACAAATTTATATTTTCAAAAATTGAAATCAGATTTAGGAATTTAATTATAAAAAAATAATAATGAAATTTTGATTTAATTATAAAATGAATGGGTGGTGGGCAGGCCCTCAGTTTTTCACTTCTAACTGTTAGCATTTTATATATTAACATGTAATATGTTTCTTATATTTAGCAACACAAAATTGTTCTTATAGTTGAATCTAGATTACTGTATATCTATATATTTTACAGTTGTCTTTAAATCGACTCTTTATGGTCTGTGTATTTGTGACATATATAAAAGATAAAGAGTTGAAAAATATTTGAGTTGGTACGTTTAATATTCTATCAAACACTTTATAGTTGAATAGGGTAATATCAAAAGACCATTCATTAGTTTAATTACATAATAATAAATATTATTAATAGGTTTAACAATTTTCTATGCAGAAAGTTGTGGTATTAGTAATAGGCTTAACAATCATCTATGCAGAAAGTAGTGTGATATCAATATAGCTGTTTGACAACCCAAATTTTAAACTTTTTCCCACCTATGAAGTTTAAATTTCAAATTTAAATTATATTTTATCAACTATAAATATATTTTTATAATTTTAAGTAGATTTTTTCTTTAATCTATAATTTTATATTAAATTCAAATTTATTATATATGTCATTTTTCCACTGCAGAAACATTAAATGTTGAACTCTTTCCCCACCTATCAAGTTCAAAATTCAAATTTAAAAAGTTAAAATTGTAAATATTAAATATTTTCTCACCCAATAGATATAATAATAAATTCTATTTATAGACTTAATAATTTTTCGCACAAAAAATAGTGAAAAACATCCATAGAAGGTTGTCCACTTTTTTCATGTAATAGCTTTTAGTTATTCATTCACGACATAGGAAATTGTGTTAATTATACTCTTGCAATAAAAAAATGAAAGTTTAATTTCTTTCTTATATACTAAATTAAAATTTTTATTTTTATAGTTATTAAACTTTTATAATTTTTTGTACAGAATGACAGAAGACGTTTTATTTTTTATTTAAACTTAAAATTTAAATTCTTTTTTCTATTAATTTATGGTGTTTATATGTTTTTTTAAATTGGTTATACATGTATATTCAAAATGTTTATGTTAAATATCTTTTTAAAAAAAATATTTGTACTGAAATTTTTTCTCTTTTTGTATTACTTTTTTTAGTTAAAATTTTAATAAATATTCTTTTAAAGTATAAATTCGTCATTTCTTATTTTTTTATTTAAATTTAAAATTTAAAATATCTTTTTATCAACTGTGCATATATTTTATAATTTTAAATATTTTTTATTTAATCAACGATTATATATTAAATTCAAATTTCTTATATAGATATCTTTTTTCCATTACAGAAATATTAAATGCTGAATTCTTTTCACTTTTCAAGTTCAAAATTCAAATTTAAAAAATTTAAATTTTCAATATTAAATATTTTTCCACCCAATAGACATAATAATTATCATTATTAAAAAGTGTAAGATAATTTTCCATATAGAAAGTAGTGGGAAACATGGATAGAAGGATGTGCACATTCTCCAAATAATAATTTCTAGTTTTTATTTACGATATATGAAATTGTGTTTTTTATACTCTTATTTCAAAAAAATGAACGTTTAATTTGTTTGTTATATATTAAGTCAAAACCTTTTTTGCAGTGATTAAATTTTATTATGACGCTATGAGGAGTGTCACTGTTTGCCAAAAAAGACTGCACCTCATCCACATAATGCTCCCACAAAGTGCACTCCAGCTTGTGACCCC